CTTGCGTACGCCGGCTTACCTTCGGCCGGCCAAAATTAACCAGGTGTGATGGGAGAAGAAACGAAAAGAGAACATATTGTCTCGCATCTATATTGACCGACATCATTGAATTTTCGCCGGACCCACCGTACTTGGACTCACATAAGTTACTACTTAAGTCTTGAGTACCGCCGCCGACGCCATCTAAATTTGATCTAAATACTCGCCGCAAACTCAGAACCCAGGGTTCAAGACTTCTTTCCCGAGACGACCGCACTACGGCGTCGAGCTATACTGTGTCCCGACCTATGGAATCACAGAACGTCGTTGAGTGCTAGTAGGAAACACGGTCGCGTTGCAGTCGCGTCGAATTGGATAAATTCGGGGAATATTTGAGGGTTACTTCGCTCCAATCTCCCACTGGATAGAGAGGCTAGAGCACACTCCCAGTTATCACGATGCATCAAAAGAGGTGGATTACTACTCGTTTATACATATGGCAGATGGCCTCAGCGCTAGGTCACTTCACATGGCGGCAACACTAGGCTTCAGGAGATTTACCGCCTCGCAAATTAGATCCCACCTTCTGCCAGATAGCAAAGTACTCCGCCTCAGTTTCTTCCCACTCGATATCCGCATAAGACAGCGTCCAGACATCCGTGAGCCGCGGGCAGATACGCAAGATAATTTGGGCAACGGGATCCGCTTCCGAAATGGGCGACGCATCGACTTGCAGCATCATCAAATCTTTGAGGCGGAAGTCTCCTTGTGATTTGGGAATCACAGTGGCGTCGAATGAGATACACAATTTGACGAGATCGGGACAATATTCGGCGAATGCCTCTAGGCAGTGGAGGGTAGTGCGAGGCCGAGAGACGCCGAAGCGTGTCTGCAGCAACAACTCTTTGATATGCGGCCAAGAGCGAGCCATGTCGGCAACCGTGGCGTTGTCCAGGTCGAAGCCAACGACTGTCTCAATCGAGACGTCGGTGAGATTGTTGAAACAGAAAAGGCAGCGGAGCGACGAAGCACGGATGGTATAGATGAGGGCGTCGGAACGGTCAAATGAGCCAGCCTTCCCATCGGTGAATCCGAAGTCCGTCAGGGAGGAATACGAAATCCCACTCTCCATGGCGGAAAGCAGGCGATGCATCTCGTCCGAAGTTGAAGGAACAGGTCTCGGGTGGTTCTTTTTCAAAATCAACGCGGCCAGTGCAATGTCTTTGCCCCGTTGGAGAAAGCGAGACGCGGAATCGATCTCGGTGGCGTAGAAATACACGAGTGATGGAAACAACGGCTGGCTTCCTGGAGTAGGGAAGTCGGTAGGGATCATCCCGTTCAGAATCAACTCCTGGAGGCTCGAGAGCCGAGAGAGATGGTCAAGGGCAGGACAATCAAGCACGTCCGTATAAAGTGTCTGAATGTGGTACAATCCGCGTACGCATTCCGACAACGCAAAGACAGCAGTCGGGACTGCGTGATTTGAGCATGATAAGTATGTCAGCTGGGGACAACGAGTCGCGAGTTGCGACACCAATGCGGAAGCGGCGGGGAAGTCGCCTGGCATGCAGATTGAGGTGAGCTGCGGGAAGAGGAAGGATTCGAGAAAATGAATGCCATCATCTTGCCGGGAGAAGCAATCTACCCGTTGAAGAAGGGGGAACATCGACTCGGAGAGCCAAGGACGAACACTGCCGACCATGGCTGAGCCATTATGAGAATCGGAATCGAGGCGCCGGATGTATCGTGCGTAGAAGCGCACGCGCTCAAAGTCCGGTTCTTCCAATGACCGACGCGGCGTCTTTGACGATGGTGAATCGATATTCAGCGAGTCATTGTGCCACGCACCATTCTATAGTATGCATTGTACATCTTTACTTCTTCGGTCAGACTGTAGGCATCCGAAGGGAGGCACCGAAGAAGATTCATCAGAGCCACCGACGCCCAAAGCAGTCTAAGTGCGTGGTCGGAGAAAACGGTCGAGGTCCTTGCCAGCATAGCGAGGTCTCGGCGTTCCGCAGGTGTCGAGTACCATGGTGTTATTAGATGAGAGCTGATGAGCGCCACGAGTTCAGGAACCTGCAGGCAGCGATGCATGGAGGAGAAAGACAAGAGGCGAGATCAGAAAATGATTGACCCCGGCAGCCAACCTCGGCACGAGTGCTCTGAGCCAATTTTCCAACAATTCTCACACAACTTTCCAGGGTAAGATGGGACTTTCGGTGAGTTATCGAAACATAAAAGTCTCCGGAGCGCCGTCCAAAGGGTTGCAAGACCAGTTGGACGGTCGAACCTATATACTAGCGAGGTACGAGCTAATAGTATATAGCGTCTGGAAGAGACTAGGTCGAACCCCCGTTGAAACTTTGTCAGGGCTGAGGGCTAGCGGCAGTCTTAGTGATCAAGGAGCAACGGCGCAGCCACAGGCTTGCGGCACAGTCAAGAGCAATAAGCCGCCGGCCCGCCGCGGCGGCACAGCGTTGCTGCTTTCCGTAGCTTAGTTAGTATAAAGAGTCTGTACATACATTATGATACATACTCGTAGCATTCTCGTCAACGACAGAGTTTTACCGACTCAACCGCAGTCTAAGTTTGGTCTAAGTACAACTCCCACCAGCAAGGATCCAGAGTTCTGCGACTTCTCATCCGAGAACCTAGACTCGAACCAGCCCTCCTTGGTACTTTTGCAGGGGAGGAATTTATATTGCAAGTAATTCTCTACTGCAATATAGTGCTGGTCCGAGCCTACCGAGAACCCCGCAGTCTAACAAAGTTCGTCAAGGAAACCCGAGAAAGTAGGTGGTGGACCTCGTCTGCAATTGAATCATTGTGGCAGATTATGTGTGCCTAGGTTTTGTCGAGGACATTCTGAATGCAGATATAGATGCATTACAGCGCCGGGACGCGGAATGAAAGATGAAACTCGAGGAACAAGGAGAAGGCTGGATTCCCGAAGTGGGAAAACCAACTTGGGATGTGGGCACAAATGGCGCAGGGAAAGGAAGTCTGAGAGTCAAAAAATCGTGGAAGAAGATACACGAAGAAGATACACGCAAGGGGAGTCGAACCCCTGCCGCTTGCTTCGTGGTGTAGCGGGAATCGCGCTGACACGTGATTTCCCGGAGCCTGGAGGGCCTATCCTTCCACCGCCGCGCTTGGACATGGTGGAAGGAGAGGAAGAGACGTAAAATAAAGTTGATGGGCCGAAAAGAAGTTGCCAGTCATGGGATCGGCCGTCAGTCGGCACGAACGTGTCATCCAGGTCGTGGCGCGAGCAGTTTCGAGGACAGAGCAGTAGAGCGAGAAACCAATGCAAGAGTCAAGTTCACTCGCGCACACGTGACAAGTTTCGTTGCACATTCTGCAACGAAATTCCAAAAGGGGTAAAATTGGCTGGGCTCGGCGCGCTCGGCAGCAAAAGGATCTATTAAACAAACGATACTCGAGATACTGAAGTAGTTGACCGGAGAAGTCCGATAAAGAGGTTGAGATGTAGCGGCGGAGGTCAACGGATAAATAGACTGAGACAATGGACTGGCCTTGGATGAAACAATGGACGCGCATTGGATGGGTATGTCTCGCATACCCATGAGGCGGGGATCGACTGGTCTCGGAGCGAGAATGGAGAGGGTCGTAGCTCGCATACCCACCAATCGTGAGTTGAGCCAATGGCCCCGAGAGCGAATGGACTTGTTAGAGTCGCGGTTGATTGATATAACGCCGCTTGTTGAACGAGGTCGCTTTTTGCAGACTTGGATGCGGGGAGGAAATTGGATTGAGGATTGGGAGTGGCTGGGGATGACCACTGAAAAGCGATGGGAGAATGGCTTGGTAGTCGACTCCACTGGACGTGACGTGAAAATGGTTGGATGGGTATGTCTCGCATACCCATGAAGCGGGGATCGACTCGGGTAGATTGAGAGGTCCAGGATGATAACGCGCATAATCGAGTCGTTGGTATGAAATGGAATGGCAAGTGCGTGTCCTCCGACGTCAGGGTGGAGCGAATGAAGTTGTAGGGAGTTGATTGTCGGAGCGGTGTCTTGTTGAAGTCCCTCGACTGTCCCTGGGCCATCTTCTATACCGTTGTTGTCAACTACCCACAGTTTCCCGATACCGGCTCAAGCGGAGCAAGCACTTTAGTCTTGAAGCTGTCGTGGCCGCATACCATCCGCTGGACGTCGTGCAAGGTGCTCTCTCTCTTCTTTCCTTCCCTCCCTCTCCTGCCCGCGCCTTTCGACGAGTTGCATGAAGCCTCAACACACGAAGGCCTGGATACCGCGTCCCTCGTGGGCCGACTCATCGTCACAACTGAGAACTCTTCGTCCTTGGCACTGTCGAGCGTGCCACCGCTGGCCAAGAGGATCTGATCGTCGCTGTCTCCGCCAGGACTCAAGTTCGTCCCATGCTCCTGGTTCCGGTTGTGCCGACCCATCCTTTGGACATCTCGTCAAGTCCCCTCGCGCCGAACGCCACAAACTCGCTCAAGCCTGTCGATCGCACGTCTTCAACTCCGTACCGCACAGCCCTTCAACTTCAAAGTCGCTGCCAAACCTCAAATTATACCTGTTTCTGAAGCTGTAGCTAGTGCTGCCCCATGTGCCGAAGTCCTGCTCAACGTCTACCCTCGTCTACCCAACGAACTCTCCCAAACCGCCTGTTCTTCATCTCCGCATGATTATCACTATGCCGTCAACGGTCGATGTATCGTAGTCCCGTACATAGCACTTCCCAATTTATTCATTTTTCTCCCTCCTTGATTTGTGTGAATGTGAGCAATATTATTATAAGCATTATTGAGTAATTATATGGGCTGGAATGACCGCTTGTGTGCGGTGTTGCAATGCATTACAATGGTCATAGGCATGCCCAATGCTTGGCATCTGCCAAGCCTGCCGGAATTCTTGTGCGTGGGCAATGGCTGCCGAACCGATCGGAATGATTTCGGGAATTTCGGTCATTCTGCTGCATTCCGATCATTGCAATGCAGTGGAATGATTTTCCCGTTTTCGTGATGAAGATACACGCAAGGGGAGTCGAGCCCCTGCCGCTTGCTTCGTGGTGTAGCGGGAATCGCGCTGACAAGCATGATAACCGCTTCACCATGCGTGTGTTTTCGCCAACAGTGTTGTTGTCAATCATAAGGGAGCGCAGAGGAGGAGGAGGAGGAGGATCTATACCCGCAGGCGGAAGCGGCCCCAATGAGGAAAGCGGGCTCTGACAGAGCGGACAGATTACACTCCAATCGAATCTACACCAGCGCGATTTCCGACCTTTCCCGGGTGCTCCGTCAAGTTGGGCTCCGGGGCTCCAGCATCCTTCCCTAGTACGAGAGAAAGCGTCGGGATCATGTTCTGCACACAAGTCAACAACACCTTAGCCCACAAGAGTATTCAACACGAACCACGCCCTGCTTTGCGCTCCCCAATACAACCGCAAAAACGATCGAATCCGCCTCCGGTTTAATGGATATCGTGCAGACAAGCAAAATGCTCCAGATGCAGTAGAGTACGCCGGATTCGAGGCTTCCAATTAAGGATGAGGATTGAGCAAAGTGGGAGAGAGGGAGGGTGCCGACATACATGAATGCAAAAGCACTGTTACACCGCTGACGCAGTACACTTTCAGGACCTCCCTTCCGGCGGATCCACCATATTCGACTTGCTGCATGGACGCCTTGGTCAAATGACACTATAAGGCGTAATGGAATACACACCCGCGAGGACGGTGAGAAGGACATTCGTCACCGCGACGACGATGAATTCAATCTGCGTGATTCTAATCGTGTAGAGGGCGGGGAGGAATTGAATCGCTACTCCGAGAGCTGAAAAAAACATCACCAAGGACTATTTTGTTCGACTTGGGATAGACGTACCAAGGGTGGACAACATGAGCAGTACGGGAAGGAGGATGACTGCCTTGCGGCGGCCCCAGAGAATGTAACATCGGTATGTCTGCCCTCTAAGCAGATCCCATCTCTCAAGTGAAGGGAACTCACAAATAGACTATCTGCCACCAGCCTGTGAGATGAATCAGCCGGCGCACAGAGTCAACAGAAGATAGGTACCAACGTGTTGAAAGCCAGGATGATATGGCTGAGCACTATAAGGGTATTATATCCATCCGCCCCAGCACCCATCTGCTGCTGAAGAATCCGAATATACACCCCAACCGAGACAAGTTGCAATGCGAGCTGCACAGTTCCAACCAAAAACATCGCACAGCTCGCCAAGATTAGTATGCTTTTCCCCGCTGCGCTGCAACGGTAGAGTAGGTTGTGTATCGCCGAGATGAAGACGTGGAGGTAGAATCCTGCTCCAGGAATTCAAATTGGATACCGAGCGAAGAACGTGGAAGCTAACCGTAGAAGAGGAGTTCCACGCCCGCTTGACTGGCGCTGTAAAGAAGGTCTTGCCAGGTGCCTACGTAGTCGTCCATGGGGATCATTGTGGTGAGGAAAGAAGGGAGTGTATGTTTCATCGGACGATAAAGGATATCTTATAAGACATAAATGTCCACCAGATTATCATGGGGCGGGAGATGATCGATGAGGCCATAAATGGATGCGCTTGTTCTTCAAATTTCGTAGGAGTCAGGAAGAACAGCGAAACCTGACATCAGATATCTTGTTGATATCTTGACGAAGGACAGCACCCGACCAGGGCCGTGGGTGCCAATTCGCGTCTTCTGGGTACTAGCAGATCCACGCACAGCTAAGTCCCGCGGTCGATGAGCACGGTGCGAGTCTTTCCGGATCTGAAGAAGGAACAGAAGGTGATTACACGGCTTCCAATCTCAGGAAGATGGTGGCCATGGGTGCAGCATGATTCAGGGCGTCAACGTTCCTGGCTCATCTGACGAGGACTTGGTGGTAAAAAAGTTTCACTGGCAACACATATCATACAAATGCGCCCGGCATCTTCAACGTTTCATCCTCAGACTCGGGTTCAGGCTCGCCCCAGTTGAACCACTGTACGCTTTTAATGGTTTTACACGTCTGCATGCAAGCTGTTTGAAATAGAGACCAAAACGGGGGTGAGAGACGTACCCTGCTGTGCCGAGTCCAATCCTCTTTCTGACATCCCGCACTGTGACGAGATGAGTCGACACTCCCAAGACGCAAGAACTAAAAAATACCTGCAATATCTCGTCAATTTACACTTGCTACACCGGCTCATCTTGAAGCCCTCCTCAGCCGTCTCATCGCGCTGGCACTTGGCACAGCTCCCAGCCAACGGAATAGGTGATCCATCTGGCATCGAGGGGCGCACGGAGGGGGCAGGTGGTGCCCCACGCACACGGGTCTCCACGGCGGCATGGCACGCCCCGCCACCGGCTTCGCACAGATGATGGATGGGCAGTACGACGACGGGCTCAGACACACGCAACGACGGTCGAGGGTCGAACCACGTCTCGCGTGCAGGCTTGCCACATTCCTCGCAGGTCCACCTCTGCGTGTGCTTCAGGTCGACCCCAATAGCGATGACGCTCTTCTGCGCCCACCCGTCGAGCATCGCAAAGTTGTTCTGCGCTTGCTCTGGAATGTCCTTGCGCAGAACGACTTGGCATCGAGTGTCGTCGCCTCCGTAGATGAATGCCCGGATTTCGAGAGACATGGGGGACGGCGACGTGGCAGCGGTGTGGGAAAGAGTTAAATTAGATGAGGAAGCAATTTCGGAGCAGGCTGTGGGGAGTTGCAGAGCTCGGTCTGGCGCGCTCTCGAGTCGGAGGAAGCAAGGAGGAGGAAGACAGCGGTGACAGAAGAGATCCGAATTTTGATGGCTGACAGCAACGATCACGCCACCCGTCAAACGCGCGTCGCGTCGCGCAAAACTAAACTGATGAAGCTACGATTACTAGACGAACCACGCCTTCTCCTTCTTCGCCTCCTCAAGCAACACCTCATTCAAATACCCCATGGACTCAGCCCGGAAATCATCCGCCGTAACGCTCACCTTGGTATCACTAAACGTCAGCGACACCGGCTCCTTCTTATGCCACTTTGGCCAGGGAACTTCCAAGGCGGAATGGTGCGATCCTTCGGCGGGGCGGTTAGGATTAAGGGTATTAATGAAGTTAACTGTCGATGCGTTGAGCGGGAATGAGAATGAAAAACGAAAGACCCACTCAGCGCATCGGCAGCGGTCCAGTCACTATCAGGCGTCTTAGGGAACAAAATGGCGTCGTCGCTGGTATGCACCGAGCCCAGTTCCGAAGAGTTCTTGAACGCAGTACTCACTAGACGTCGATTACTTGAGTATCAACTGAGAAGCAAAGTAAAGACGTACGCCAACTCCAGGTATTCTGCCTCGAAGACGCGTGTTCAAGGAAGAACCTCCGGGGAGCGACGAAGATCAAATCACCCTGGAACGAAGCGAGACGTTTGAATTGAGGGCTTAACTGGTTATTGGTGCCTGTGCCAAAGGGAGAGCCCTACAACAAATGATTAGTTTCTGCAAGAATATTGGGAGGCGATTCAACTTTTTTGGGATCATTGGGATATAAATGTCCCATTTTCGCTATTTGGGCTTCTGTTGCGGCGGGGAAGTAACTAGATGGAGTGAGTTGGGCACCAAATATTGATTCGATAACATACTTTGCGTGAACGTAGTTCAAAAATTCGCCGTTGGTCGTGATGTTCAAGAGTGCCAGGGTGAATATGCTTCAACGTTTTGAGACTTGAGATCAGAAGACTTGAAAACCACATACGTTCCCTCGTCATCCGAGTCTCCAGTCAAGAAGGGCATCTATCAAGATGAGAATCTGAATGGTCTCCGACTGAATGACCCACCCTGCTAAACAGCCCACGCTGGAGCATGAGCAGCGGATTGGCCAAGATAACATCTCCGTCGACTCTCGGCCGCCAGGCTGTATTGAGACTCTTGTTCGAGAACAAATCCGGTGTTTCATTCACAGTCGTCATGAACGCGTCGAACGGCACTTTGCGTAGACACTCGAGGGTGTCGTGGGCATGCGAGCAGTTGTTTGCCGACACGAGGAAATTATACTGGTCTTGGCCGTCAAGGACGGAAGGCTCAGATCCAGGCGAGCCGGCTTCCAGTATAGCCCCGTGAAACAATTTATTCGAGCCCTCGAGGTTATCGAGCATCAGCAGCGACGCCGAGATCGCTCCAGCGCTTACACCACCTCTTGACGGCTCGTTAGATTCGGGTATGAAAACCAAAGAGGGACGTACAACACCACGCGGGAAGGATCGCCACCGAATGCAGCGACGTGCTCCTGGACCCACTTCAAAGCGAATATCTCTGGAAAAAATCATGAACTGAGTGGCGTGTCAAAGGATGAATCACGCACGGTCGCGTAACCCCAGATTCGAGATACCCGCACGCGCCACCTCTTTTCCTGCCAAAAAGCCGAACGCTGAAGCTGTCAAGTAACTAAAATGCAGATCAACGCGAGTCTCACCGGTAAAACGATAATTCATGACCACCGAGACGACGGATTGGCCGGTGACGATGGCGCGCTCAACGACGGGCTTCACATCCGTGTCGCGCGTGTTTCCTGTTTCAAATCCACCTCCAAAGATCCACACAAGGACCGGTAACTTGGACTTGTGATTCGCTGTGATGGGCCGATACACGTCGAGAGTCAAGCCTGAACACATATCAATATGAGAAGTAAGGAAAAGGATGTTCGCGACGCACAATCTTCCGAAATCGTGAGCTGAGGATCATTGTCAGAACCAGGCAACTCCACGGGCAACGCGCTGAACGTTTGTTGTGGACAAGAGGCACCATAAACCGTCGCATTCTGGATGCCGTGGAGACGCCGCGGTGCACGCGGAAGTTCAAACCGTCCTCTGAGAAGGGTGTTCAGCGTGGAGAAACTTGAAGCCAATCGAGATGCTCACGCTTGCGCAAAGGGTACACTGCGGAATTCAGTTAGATTACCCTGGGGAACGCCTCGGAAGGTGCCGTATGGTAAAGAGACGATGTGCGTCGAGGCCACGCAGGATACGACGGCGAGAGCGCCACTCAAGAGCAGTGGGAGCATGTACGAGGCCGTGGGTGGAGAGGCAAATCCTGTGCGGCTCCGATCACGAGCACATGGCGGGCGTAAATCAGACGTTGCCGACCGCAGCGCTCCGCGTG